CTGGGTTTAGCTGGGTCCAGCAGAGCAGTAAGGGCCTGGGGTTAGCTGGATCCAGCAGAGCAGTAAGGGACTTGGAGTAGCTGGGTCCAGCAGAGCAGTAAGGGCCTTGGGGTAGCTGGGTCCAGCAGAGTAGTAAGGGCCTGGGGTTAGCTGGATCCAGCAGAGCAGTAAGGGACTTGGAGTAGCTGGATCCAGCAGAGCAGTAAGGGACTTGGAGTAGCTGGATCTAGCAGAGCAGTAAGGGCCTGGGGTTAGCTGGATCCAGCAGAGCAGTAAGGGCCTGGGGGTAGCTGGGTCCAGCAGAGTAGCAGGGGCCTGGGGGTAGCTGGGTCCAGCAGAGCAGTAAGGGACTTGGAGTAGCTGGATCCAGTACAGTGGCAGGTTCCCCAGCAGAGTGGTAGGGGCCTGGAGATAGCTGGGTTCAGTGTAGTGGTTGGGTCTAGGATCTAGGGTCTAGGGTTATAGTCAGAGTCTAGGGTTAGCTGGGTCCAGCACAGCAGTCAGGGCCTGGGGGTAGGTCGAGGTCTGGGGCTATGCTGGGGTCTAGGGCTAGGTCGGTGTCTGTGGGATCTTGGGGTTATTGGAGGTCTGGGGGTTCTTTTGTGGGGAAGTGGGGGTCCAGAGGTAGTTTGAGGCCTGGGGTTTTCTTGAGGTCTAGGGGTAGGTCAGTTTCTATGGGGCAGTTGGTGTCTGGGGCTGGCATGGTGGCTGTGAGGGGCTCTGCCCATGGCTGAGGGATGGTGGGGCAGGGTCCCTTGGGGCAGCTTGTGGCTGCTGGTGGCAGCCTGGGGCCTGGAGGTTTGCTGCTGGAGTGGCCTGCACACAGCCTGTGACCCCCGAGGTGCAGGTGTGCAGGGCACCCTCCGTTTTCCTGCGGGTTTGCTGGCCTGGCCCTCGTGGTCTTGAGGCTAAAACTGGAACTCCCAGATGGGCTTCGGCTTTCTGACCCCACCCTGACCTTCGGGCAGTTTGAGTTCATGATCGAGTCCATCCTGTATGCCCGGGATGCCTGGCTGAAGGAGGACGGGGTCATCTGGCCGACCACGGCGGCGCTGCACCTGGTGCCCTGCAGTGCTGACAGGGACTACCACAGCAAGGTGCTCTTCTGGGACAACGCCTACGAGTTCAACCTCAGTGCGCTCAAGTAGGTGTGAGGCCACCGCAGCTGGCCCCGCCTGGAGGGAAGGGCCGGGCAGAGGGGGAGGCGGGAGGCTCCCGGGGGTCCTGCCATCCTGGGGGCACAGTGCTTCTTCTCTTGGAGCACTACCCTGTACCCGGGGACCTGTCTGAGGCTCCTCACCATCTCCTGCCTGCCCTGGCCCCGCCTGCCTTGCTCCCAGTCAGCTCCATGGGACACTCCCTGCTTCTGAGCAGGTATGGGGAGAGCCCCACCCTGGACAGGACATGCAAAGGCCAGCTGAAGTCACCACTTGCCTAAGAACTTTCTGTATGGTTTTTAAAGATAAAAAATTGAATGCCTTCAATCTAAGGTCTCCCGTTCCATGGGAAGTCACGTGGGTGCTGCTATGTGGGCCTCCACCTCCTCTAGGAGTGTTGTGCAGGCTGGAGCAGCTGCCCGGGGTGCGGGGCCCTGGCCCAGGTCTGCCTCTGGCTGAGCGCTCAGTGGCAGCACAAGTACTGCTCCTGAGATCCGGCTGCGTTGGCTGCTCCAGTTCTGCTGTGGGTCCCCCTGTCAGGAGCAGCTGGCAGCAGGAGTGTCTTTGCAGGGTGGTAGGAGATAAAATAGAACCAAGGGTAAAGAACACCCAGCAGCCCGGATCCCCGGGTCACCTGGTGAACGCTGGCATCCGTGTGCTTAGTCTCCTGCACCTGGCACTAGAGGGAACCCAGTACTGACTGGCTCAGATAAGACCGGGCAAGGCTGTCAGACCCAGGGCGGGCCCCCCAGGCCAGGCTCCCAAGGCGAGCCCTTGGGTGTGGGGGGGCTGCCCGAGGCTGAGTTGGTGGCAGGTGGTGAGCAGGTGGGTGCTGCAGGGGACACTCAGCTCTGCTGCAGGTGTTAAAAAGCCTAGGTCTCTGGTGACCTGGAGCCTGAACTGACCTTCTCCAGATCTTTAGCAATCAAGGAGTTTTTTTCGAAGCCCAAGTATAATCACATCTTGAAGCCAGAAGATTGTCTGTCTGAACCGTGCACCATATTGCAGCTGGACATGAGAACCGTGCAAGTCTCTGACCTGGAGGTGAGTAACAGGTGGAACTGATTCCTCTGGCCTAGGCATCCGCCCTGTTGCCTTCACAGACCCAGCCAGTGCAGGGGCATGTGCGGCTGATTGTCATACAAAGACCTGGGTTTATACACATATGCTGTTGCTTTTTTCCTTTTTTATGGTCTGTTTTGATTTTGTCTTTTTTTTTCCCCCCTGAGGACTGAGAATTTAACCCAGGTGCTCAACACTGAGCCACATCCCCAACACTTTTGATTTTTTATTTTGAGACAGGGTCTCCCTAAGTTGCTTAGGCTGGCCTCAAATTTGAGATCCTCCTGCCTTAGCCTCCTAGTCAACATGCCTGGCTCATGTTCTAAAAATTTTCTTTATTGTTAAATCTCATTAGTGTCTCCAGTTATTTTTAGATTTGTGTTTAGAATTCTTGGCATTTTCAAAATTATGTTCTATTTCATTTATCATGGTACAATATTTGAACTGAATATTCTTCGAAAAGTTTTTAGCTACCATTTGGCTAAACTCCTGACATCTTTTCATGGTGACTGCATGGACTTAGCTGGGCCTGGCTGGTCCACAGATTGCCAGGGCCAGTCAGTGCTGCGCCTAACCTGGGGCAGTATCTGCAGGAGCAGACAGGGTAGTGGGACTCAAGCTGTCGAGGCCATCTGCAGTGGCACTGGGGTTAGGGATGGGGTTCGGCCTATGATTAGGCTCAGAATTAGGACTCAGGTTAAATTTATTAGGGCTTTGGCCAGGGCTAGGCACATGACTGAAGTTAGAGTTGGACTGAGGCACACTTTCTGGTTTGGGAATAGTATCAAGGTTATCCTTGGGGTTTTGGCTGTGGCTAGGCCTGTGTTAAGTTGGAGTTGGTGGTTGGTGACCCCCCTGCTAGGAAACCTACCACCCACCTGCTATCCTTTGTTTGGGTGCAGACCATGCGTGGTGAGTTGCGCTTTGAAATCCAGAAAGCTGGCACCCTGCACGGCTTCACCGCCTGGTTCAGTGTGCACTTCCAGAGCCTGCAGGAGGGCCAGCCCCAGCAGGTGCTCAGCACAGGCCCGCTGCACCCGTGAGTGCCCCGGGCCCCGGTCGGGGGGGGGGGGAGGGATGGGGCCAGAGAGAATTGGGTGGCGGGTGTGTCTGGTCTGTGGAGTTGGACAGGTCACGGGGAGTGGGACGTAGAACGGTGGGCGTAGGCAGTTCCCTGTGCCTGTGCGCTGGCCTTCCCTTCCTCCGGCCTCCTTCCTGCCTCCTCWCTCTAGGAGCAGACTCGGGCTTCCCAGGAGAGTCCTTCAGAGCTGGGCAGGCTGCCCTGCCTCCCACTGCCATGGCTTTGTGTTGGGTGCAGACCTCCTAGAGCTCTTGTGGTCGGCTACTCCCTTGAGTCCTGTCCCCGAGGGCACTGTCATTGTCGGTTGCCAGAGAATGGACATAGGTGCCACGTGGCCAAGGCAGGGAAGAGAGGAGGAACGGTGGCCCAGTCCAGGCTCAGGCACAAGGGGCTGCAGATGCTTCCTATGCCCCTGGAGAAGTCCCTCCCGCAGTCTTGCTCACGCTCATTGCACCTCTTGGAAATGACCACTGTGACCTGGTGGGTCAGTGTGTAGACTGGGCATCAGAAGCCTGGGGCTGTGTGCTGACAGGCTGTCCTCTGGGCAGTCCCAGAGTCTGTAGCTCCCCACCCCATGGGCTGCCCAGTGACCTGCACGGCCTCCAGAACACACTCCCCAGCTGCCTCTGTTGGGGTTTGATCCCGTGCACCCTGCCTGATCTCTGATCTCGGCACTGGGCACATCTACTCCTACGCTGCCCTGGCCCATGAAGCTGGGTCACTGCAGGCCACACCAGGGCCAGCTGTCGGTTTGTGACTCATGCCCTGTCTTACAGCACCACACACTGGAAGCAGACCTTGTTCATGATGGACGACCCAGTCCCGGTCCACTCGGGAGACATGGTCACTGGGTCCATTGTACTGCAAAGAAATCCGGTGTGGAGGAGGCACATGTCCGTCACTCTAAGCTGGGCCGTGGCTTCCAGAGAAGACCCCACATCTCAGAGAGTAAGAGCCTGGTGCGAGGAGGCGTCCTGTGGCGGGGTCGGCAGCCCGCGTGGCCTGCCTGGTCCTGCGGCCCCTCCCTGAGCTCAGAGGAAGTGGGTGCTCTCCCTGGCGTCTTCTCCTGTGGGGCAGCAAGTGGAAGGTTCAGGGGGGCGGTCATCTCCCAGGCGAGGCAGCCAGGGCCGGGGTGCCAGCCTGCCCAATGCAGAGGAGCCCGGCAGGTGGCTGCGGGAGCTGTCCTGCTGCTCAGCACCCTGGTTTCTGGTGTGCCGCTGTGCGGGTGCCCCGGAGGTGCCGGGTATGGTCAGAGCTGCCATTCAGAGACCGGGTACAGAGGCTGCAGGAAGGCGGAGCTCTTTGGACTTAGGGTTAATGTGGGAGAGAAAGACGATGTCATGGTTTTTCTTGACTTTTCTGTCCCTGTTGGGTACGTTTTGGTCACTTTGTGTTCAGAGTGCAGATGCTCTTCGTTTATAGAAGCAGCCTCTTGGAGCCAGTCACAGAGGTGACGCACGGTTGGGTTTTCTTTCTCAGGTGGGGGAGAAGGTCTTTCCCATCTGGAGATGACGGTGGACGATCGGCAGTGGGGCCCCAGGAGGGGCCAGGACACACCTGCCCCAGTGCCGTGAAGTCCCCGCACATGGCTCTTCTAGACCCCTCCTGGCACTGCAGGTGACGCCAGGGCCCTTCACTGCAATCGCATGGGCTTGTCCCATAGCTACCCTCCCAGTACCCCCTAGAGTAGGTGTGTCTCCAGGTGTTTGCCCCGTGGTGCCCAGTGCCGCCCTGGGTGGCAGCTGCGCTCCCAGCTAGGTGTAGTTCCAGACTCCTCGGTCGCACGCATGCCAGCCCATGTACCCTGTGACCATGACATTCACCGTGGGTGTCAGGGGTACCTGCAGTCCCCACTGAGTCACTGCACTTGCAGATGGGGTGTGGCCCTCAGTGGGCCTGGGGATGGACTCTGCATGGGACCCAGTGTGTAGGTGTCTTCCAGTGAGTTCTGTGTGGACCTGCTCAATAAATATTTTTTAATGAACAATGTTGTGTGTCCTGTTTCCATTTTGGATGGCACTGTCACAGGCCTGGATGCAGGGCCCCCAGATAGGGAGGGCCTACTGTTCACCCTGATCCTCTGTGCTTTGCTTTGTGACCTTTACTCAGTACAAGGAAACTCCCTTGGCAGTAGCTGCGTGTCTGCAATGTGGTTTTGTATTGTTTTGATGTTTGGTGAAATCTTACTATTTGCTGAAAGTTCAGAGCTGCATCTCGGAGAGTGCACCGGTATCACCAGGAGACAGCACGGCAGTGGCCAGGGCCCGGCCCCTTCTTGGCCCAGAGTGGACACGGTGGGGTCTCACACTGCCCTGGCGTTGTCTCCCCCAGGTCTGCATGTCCAGGTCTGAGGCCAGTCTGGGAGTCGTAGGCACTATGACCCTCCTCCTGCGAGATTCTTGTGGACGTGCACCACCCTCCCTGCGGTGTGCTGGTGGCATATGGGCGTCCCAGCGCCAGCCCCTAGGGTTCGGCCCATGTGAGCGCCTGCCGCTTCCTCCGTGGCACCAGCTAGGGGGCAGTGTCTGCACGCGGCCCGCCCAGCCACTTCCCTCGGGGCGTCTGGTGCATGTGCAGCTTCAAGGCACCTTTCCCTGGTGTCTCTGTGCCCCATGGTCCCTGGCCACTGGGTCGCCCAGCTGCTGTTGGGAGCCGGGGAGCCCGTCACCACCATCATGCTCCTCTCCCACCATGCTGCCTGGCGCTTCCGACAGGCGGGTGGCACCTGGACCAGCCTGCGCTGTGTTCTGGGTGCGAGGGTACCTGTGAGCTGGGCTCGGTCCTGTCGCGAGCGCTGAGCCTCTGAACGATGCGCTGCTAGATCCTGAAGGGGATTTGGGTGTCTCCAGTATTTTTAGACCCAGCAGCGGACTTCTATGTGGCGAGCCACAATGAATGACCACACCTTCCAGTCCTGATGCCTCATATTCTGGCCAACCGCTGCATTTGCTGTGGCTTGGGCACGGTCTAGCTCCATGGTCAGGGGTCTTCCTTGTGGGTGTGCCCCTGGGGTCGAGTTACACTCTCCTGTCCCTTCTAGTCCTGCCCCTTCTGCCCTTTTATGGATAGAACTTTCTAAGGACAGAGTCCTCCCCATAAAAGCTGACTTCCGAACGTGCTCCCTCTCTCTCGTCAGCGTCTGGTGACTTTCTCTTGCTCTCCCTCTTGGTGAGCCTGAGGCCGAGAGCCAGGAAGCCGTCCTAAAGCTTGTGTGAAGGTAAATTTTGTCTGTTATCTGGTGTCCTTGCARATTCACCCGAGCCATCTGAAGTCAGCAGCCCGTGATGGTCCAGGCGGCACTTTTATCTATTTCAGTATGAGGTTTCATGTATTTTTCAATCTCTGTTATGATTTCTTGTTGTTTGAAGTTTTGGGGGGGCATGTGGCTTGATTTCAAGAGGTGGGATCTCCCAGTTATCTGTCACTAATCTGCTTGATTCCGCCGTGGCTGAGAAGAGGCTGAGGGATTTCCTTCTCTGAGATCTGCTGCAGCTTGCTTCAGGACTCCGCAGTGGTGGTGCACAGAATGCGAGGTGGGATCTGAAGGCCTGAAGGCTGGGCTTCCTGGTGGGTCTGCCTGCTGTGAGGCCCTCGGGGCAACAGGAACTCACTTCCCTGCAGTCTGGAGGCTGCAGGTCTGAAGCACCAGTGTGCTGCCAGCCTCTTCTGGGCGGGCCCCCTCCTGGAGTGGACAGCTGCCTTCTGCAGAGTCCTCATGTGGTAGAGGAGCAGGGGGCTGAAGTCTCTTGTGGGGACACTGGTTCGACTGTCAGTCTTTGCTGCTGCAACTCTATCTCTGACTCTGACGAGACGCCGATGAAGTCCATGACTTATGCCTGTGCCCAGTTCACCAGAGGGCCAGCTGGCTATCACTGTTGTGGCCTCGTGTCTTGCAACATGGACAGGCTGAGCATGTTCCAGCTCCTCACATTCAGGTTCCTCCATGTTTGGCAGTGTCCTCCTCCGTGGATCTCCTTCTTCAGTTTCCACCAAGCCATGCCTCAGCCCAGCTTAGGGATCTTTGCTCAGTGGCCAGAGGTGGCCACTGCAAGTTCTGCCCCCACAGAGCACCACAGCACAGTGCACCAAGTGCTCCTGGGTAGATGCACTCTGCTGAAGCCCAGGGGCAGGAAATCAGAGGCTCATCACTGTGGCCATCTTCCTGGGCAAGACCTATGATGAGTGACCAGGTGACAGAGTCAAGTGCTGCCATGTCCAGGCTTGGGGAGACCCTTCCTTTTGTGGGTCTCAAGTGAGAGGCTTACATCTTGTGAGGTTGAGAAGCTGCCCTGTCTGGTGTTCCTGATATGATTTGGGATATCCACATATCCAGGTGCTCCTAATAAGTTGCACGTATAAGTTATTTATCAGTTTGTGCCCTATGTCGTGTCGGGCAGATGGTGGTACTTTACTTGTGCAAAAAGGGGTGGGGTCATCCTATCTTGGCACCTATATTACAGCTTTAAAAAAACAGGGTAACTCAGGTTTAGATACAGCAAGAAAACTGCTGTTTTACACATGGAGTCACTCAGGGCAGGCACGTCCTGAAAGCTGCTGTCCTGTCTGCCATGGAGTCACTCAGGCAAGCACAGACTGGAAGCTGCCATCCTGTACTCCATGGAGTCTGAAGTCCTGGGGTTCTCCCCAAGGCACACACATTATTTGTGCTGTTCTGTGGAGAAAAAGTGATCATCTTTCAGGGAAGACAGGCCACATCAGATGGGAGTACTTACATGTAGCCTGAGAAGCAGCAACAACATTTTTTTAAAAACTGAAATGAAATTTTATCAACTCTTTCTGAAAGTATGGTCTCTGCTACATGAAGAGCTCTGTACAGGCTCAGGTAAAAAATAGATTAATCAACGGTGGTGATAATGGTGGTTGTGATGGAGATGGAGATGGTGATGGAGGTGGAGGTGGTAATGGTGATGATGATGAATGGTGATAGTGATGGAGATGGAGATCTAGTGGTGATGGTGATGGAGATGGAGATGGTGTTGGTGATGATGATGGAGTGGTGATAGTGATGATGATGGAGTGGTGATAGTGATGGTGATGAAGATGCAGATGGTGATGGTGATGGTGGTGGAGTGGTAATGGCGATGATGATGTGATGGTGATAGTGATGGAGATGGAGATAGAAATCTGGTGGTGATGGTGATGGAGATGGTGATGGAGATGGAGATGGTGTTGGTGATGATGATGGAGTGGTGGTAGTGATAATGATGGAGATGGTGATGGAGATGGTGATGGAGATGGAGATCTAGGGTGATGAGATGGTGATGGAGATGGAGATAGTGACAGAGATGGAGTGGTGATGGAGATGGTGATGAAGATGGAGATCTAGGGTGATGAGATGGTGATGGAGATGGAGATAGTGACAGAGATGGAGTGGTGATGGAGATGGTGATGAAGATGGCGATGGTGATGGCGTTGGAGTGGTGATGTTGATGGTGATTGTGGTGTTGATGGTGATTGTGGTGTTGATGGTGATGGAGATGGTGATGGTGATTGTGGTGGTGATGGTGATGGAGTGGTGATGATGATGGTGATGGCGATGG